GCGTGACTAGTGCTTTATCAAGAATTGGATCTGTATTTGATGGTATTTTAAATATGTCCATGGGTTGCTAACATGATTCAACTTCTTAGATGGACTCTTGGCTCTCTTTTGTTCCTGGCGTCCTTTGCGGCCATGATGGGCCCAACGGCTTATGCGAAGCATCTTATCTCCGGTCCTCGCCTGCCCTTCACCGCGGCCTACTTTGGATCCTTGGGGCTTTCTCTCTACTTCTCACTGGGTGTAAGTTTATACCGCGCCTTACTCCACTGCTGACTTCACTAATGATCCATAATAGCTGCACAGCACTTTCCTGACCTTGATCTCGGCGCTGATTCAGCTGGCCTGTTTGTTGTGGTATTTAGTCAGTTATTTTCCAATGGGCTCCAGTGGCTTGCGCCTTGCCACCACATTTGGGGCGAGGAGGGCAGCGGCATGGATGTCGGGCTGAAAAAGGTCCTGACAACTAAATGATTTGCAATACCGCGTAGTTCTATAGTGCGCGCTCGGGCTGTCAGCTGCAATCGAAAACTCTCCGATCAATGGATAAATAATTCAACTTAAGCGATGAATAACAGGTTGATGTCTGGCGCATTTCTGCAAATTTCGTGGCATGCATTATGGCGAACACAAGTTCAACTCGGTTGTTGTATTTGATGTTTCTAGCCACCGCGGGTTTAGCTCCCAGGTTTCACCGTTCGGACTTGCGCCTGAGGACAGCAAGCTTGCCCATCCCGTATCTCAATGTCATAATATAAAAATTACGGACGGATATAGTGAGCCTACGAGTTATAGAGACTCGTAGCGCGGTAGTCGTTTATGTGCCTTCTTTACTGGGAAAGTTCCTCGCAAACCTATGGTGGCACGACAATAATCGACAGATGGCTGCAGTTTGGTAAATGCCGAGAAGTCGGGAGGGATCCCCCCAACCAGGCAGAAGAAAATTGGTGTTGATGTCGGCATCCCAACATCTTCCCGTAGATGCTGCAGATACAATCAAATAGGCGTGGGTGTGAATTTCAGTAGCCGGGCAAATTCGGCACGTCCAGGAACGTTCGGGGGCCGAGTCAGTCTATCCCATTCCCAAATCCACAGGGATCTGGCTGTGGAGAACGAACATGTGAGGAGAAATGTTGGAGCTGTGCCGATAAGATATACGAATAGCCTTGAGCGATGGGCTAGCTTCGTTGTCGGGACGCGTCTGGAGGCGCATATGCCGTGCTGTGTCTTTTAACGGCACCGGCAGAGAAACGCAGAGCTAAAACGACGGATTTACGGGTACATTCAGATTTAACTGCATAAATCAAGGTGTGACTGCGGCTTTTGCTCTTCTCCTGCTTTGTCCATCTTCTTGTCCCTGCCCTCTTCATGATGCCGCCTAGTTGGCCGAAGTGTGGTGGGACCGGCCGGCTTTCCGCAACGACGACGCTGTGCGGACTACCACATATTCTGTCCCGAAAGGAAGGATCCTTTGACGTCCAACACCCGCCCCGCCTTCTCTACGCGCTTTCTCAAGAGGTGTCTGGAAGGCCGATGCGGGACTCCTTGCACCAGTCAGCGGAAGCAACGGGCTAGCGTCAGTTGTTGCTGAAATACTGAGCTGAGGCAGAGAAGGTTGTCTCTCGGATTAGATGGCCATCGGTAACTTGTACGTTGCCAGATACGTTGTCCAATGACTACAAGTAGACTGTGCAAGGAACTAAAAGGGGGCGAGCGAGCTGGGTTGTTACTGGGAAACTTGGAGACGGGAATGGCTAGTCAGGAAGACGTTTTGCTTTAGCTGGCATAGGATGTCGGGTGCTTGTGTCGACCATGTCCGAGATACTCGAAGTTGCAGGTCTCGTTTGCAAATTACCTTAGATAATGCGGGCGCCTCAAGACACCCATGTCTTTTCGCACGTTTAGTGAAGCACTCCTCTTCCTGCATGGACGGCCGGCAAGCCGATCCTTCAAAGCCAGGGCCCATCCAACAAGGAAAGCACTGGAGAAGCACGGCACGGGGTCCAGACAGGGCTTCTGCTGTGGCTATGGTGGCGGTTTGCAGCCATTCATGAGTTGTGGCCGTCATGAACTTCTGGGTCCGCTTGATGTGGCTGTGTTGCAGACATGCTGAGTACTATGTGCTTGACTATGTCTGCGGTCTTGAGGTGCTGCTGAGAACAGAACCGAACGAGCACATTCGCAATTCGTGACAGAGGGCATCAGTTGATCACATCAGGGACGAGACGGTTTTAGGTAATTTAAGTGCGATGAACGGAGTCGGGCGGGTGCTGGAGTCGGGTAAGAAAGGAAAGTGAAAAGAAGGACAAAATAATAATAATAATTGATGCAGTGTGCCAGGCCAGGGTCCCATAGCCGCGGTTACCCTCCCTTCTCCTCTTCTTCCCACCAAGTATTTTCGGCCATGTCGAGTGTCGAGTGGAGGATGGACGAATAGATGGCGCGGTAAATGGATTTATGGATGACGGGATCCGAGGCTGGTCAGGGTATGCCGCTTTAGGGTGGACACAAATCCAGCCCTCAGCCCTGAGATGTTGTTGGCGTGTGGCGGCCGAGGGGATTTGGATTTGTTCAACGGGCTTCTGGATCTGCATTTCCTCCGAAGAAGGTACGTATTTTCGAACCAGGTTCCGACCCGTCACTTGACTAGGGTATCATCTACACAACCAGTCGGGGGCTGCAGCAATGCATATGAAGTCGGTACAATTTGGCATGGTATGAAGCAAAAATGAGGGCGAACTCTTCTCAGGCATCACGATCCCGAAACGAAGAGATGTGCTTTTCATCTTCCGTTGGCGTCCGGCGGTCGGGATTAGGCCGACAACAAGATCATGATGAGTAGATAGATGCCCCATGACGCCAGCAGGAACCGAGGGGGAGGACAGCCAGCAACGTATCCGTAAGGTAGGTAAGGCAAGACAGGGCCCGTTTTTATTTTTGTCGAAACCCCATCTGCCCGCTCGGTTGGCGCATTGCGTTGCGATGCGGTGCGGTGCGGTGCGGTGCTTTGCATCTGTAAGTCTGGTAGCACTTGCATCGCATCTCCATACGGCACACGAGCGAATAGGCCGCGAGCTAGGGGCCACACAAACGGGACAGATGAGGAGAGGGAAAAGCCTTGGGAGACAAGCCATCGCGACTTATATCGCGCATCCCCACCACGGCCGCCGCGAAGCCAGAGGAAACTTTGTGGACTCATGCAGAAGAAGGTCACAGCCGTCCGTCGGAGGATGGGCAGGATGCAGAGAGAGGTACGAGACTGAGCAAATAGCGACGGGCAACAGTAGGTAGGGAATTGCAGAAATATTTCACCAACTTCCCTCCAGCGCAGCGAGGGATAGGTAGGAGAGAGGGAGGAGGGGCGATAGCAGGGCAGCCTGAGGCGTACCTTAAGTACAGGGCATACCTTACCTACTTACCTTACCCGACCATGTACCTAGGTAGGTATGCACCCCAAATGCGCCCCCAAGGGCGGCGCACCTTACCTACCTACCTACCTACCTAGGTAGGCACCTGAGAGGAGGTAGTATGCAGGTAAACCTCAGCGCTGGCCTGGACCTCCGTGTGCCCGGCCAGTCACCCTCAGAGGCTTCCGCCCGCCGGAGTGACTGAGGTTAGGTACCTCAGGTGGTAGGTAGGTGTGGTCCCCGGGCAGGTAAGGTAGGTTCCATTTCCTCCGGCCTTCCAGGTTCCCTGATGACCTGACCTGAGTCCGTCTGTTTGTCCAGGAATTCAATACGGTGAATTAATTACATTGCCTGACCTGGCCATGCTCTTCCACACTCCCGACTTCCCCGTGGGCGTGTAGAACCAGGGAAAAATCTATTTCTCCGCTCCCAGGTCGGTATTAGGTCCCTTCCCGCCCAAGCCAGGCTGATACTACAGGCCAGTCACTCAGTCAGTCAGTCATTTCTGTCCGTCTGTCACGGTCAAAAAGTCCAAGTCGCTGTCACTGTTGGCACCGTTCACTACCCTCTGTGTTCCCCTCCCACCTCCCCGCAAAAAATAAAAATAAAAAATAAAAAATAAAAAAAAAAGTCAGGTCGACAAGCTGCCTCCACCTTTACCTCAAGTGCCAACCTGGTAGGTAGTGGCTTTCCCGAGAAGAAAAAAAATTCATTCACAAAAAAAAAAACTCGGGCCTCAGATTTTATTCTCGTAACCTTTTCCTCCCCCTTCCACAGACAGGCGCACAAAATCTCCCCTCCCTCTCCTCCACAAACTTACCACTCTCGGTATTTTTCGTGGTCTCTTGTTCCCTTGGACCTGCTGCGCTGTCCTTCTGTCCGCTGCATATCCTACCTACCTACCCATCTGCGTACACAACTGACAGCGAGAGAACCCCTCAGTCCGACAAGCCCTCCTCCAATCGAAGCTTTGAGTTTACCCGTTCTTCGCAGCCAATTTTTCTTCGATCGCGGCAACCCGAGGACGACTTGCTTTCTTCCCCTTGAGCCCACCCACCAAATTCCGTTGACTTCTACCCAACAGTCTCTTACTCGGTACGATTACCACCGCTTGTTCACGACCCCTCCATACCTTTCTCCAGCCCCCGCGCCTTCGCACTGAGTACAGTTTCGTCTGCCTGGCTCTGTCGGAGGCTCGTTTCCTGCCCTCCCCGCACCCACTCTCTCTTGTCGGCAGCATCTTTCGCCTTGCCTGGATCAGAAAAAGCACCTTGTCCTAACAAACTCTCTCGCCAACAGTAAATCGCGACCTGTTCACGACGTCAATCGACACCAATATCTCCGCTAACGACACCTCGGTCTGTCGTTCGACACCCTTTCTTCAGACTACACGGGGAGGTTGGTTCGCCTTCTCTGGTCTGTCTCCGCTCGAGGAGTTGCTGGTAGACCTCGGTTCACCAACGCATAAGCCATTCAGAGGCTATCTTTCTGGGGCCTGGCAGGATTCGATCTATAGATCATCTGTCCTGGTCCGATATACCCCCAACAGTCTTCCAAGGCATGCCCATTTCTGAGCCAGCCTTACCACGAGACACAATGGCTGCTCAATTTTCTTACGCTCAAGCCGCCAAGGGTCAGCCTTCGGCCACCCAGAGCACCGAGAACGTCAAGGACTCAGCAAACGGCGAACAACCCAACGCTGAGCCCAACGCCGTCAAGACCGCCAACGCTGACGAAGAGACGTCGAGAAATACGACCCTCAAGGCCCAGCTGGCCGCTAAGCAGGACTCTACCTCCGCACCAGCCGAGGTTAACAACACCACATCTACCGCGGCCTCCGTCGCCGATTCGCGACGTGACGACGAGGATGCCGCCACCGAGAGCTCGACCCGTCGAAGTGACAAGAGCGTCAGGTCAGCAAGTGCATCCACTCGCGTGACCGACGAAGCCGAGCCGAAGAAGGGCTCTAGGAAGCCAAGAAAGGGCAAGGCTGGTAAAGAGTCGAGCGAAGAGTCCAAGAAGGACAAGGCCGCAGAGCAAGAGAAGGAACTGCCCAAGGTCGAGTTGGTTGAGGCGCCGCTTCCTTCGGTCAACATCTGGACACAAAGGAAAGAGACCCAAGCCGCGAAGACCACTATCACCCTGCCCGCCCAACCCGCTCCCTCTCGATCAGACTCTGCTGCTGCGCCCACTGCCGACACTTGGCCCAATAGTCAGGAGTCTAAGAAGAAGAGCAAGATCACTGAGAGCTCTGACGCTACAAACGGTGCCGTCAACGGCACCAAGGCTCAGCGCAAGGTTGACGACGCTACTGCTAGGAGAACCGGCGCTCGTGGCTCCAGGCTGATCGAGAGGGATAACCGAGTCACCGAACTTCCTCCGCCTGTCAACGACGTTACCTCGTGGCCCACACCGGAGACGGCCGTTAAGGAGGCCGTCAAGGAAGAGAAGCGCAAGCCCGCCGAGAAAGCGGAGCGCCCAGAGGCTGAAGATGAGTCCGGTTCCAAGGGACGGTCCAAGGACAAGTGGGAGCGCATCGATTTCGTGCCTAGTGTGCAGTTTTCCACTCCTATTCCCTCGACAAGAGGTTCTCGCGGAGGAAGAGGCGGTGCTCGTGGTGGCCGCGATACCACTTCTAGAGGAGGCCACGGTGCTGCTGGCGCCGCCGCCGACAAGTCCGCGACAGCCCCCTCCAAAACCGGAGGTGAAGCCCGAGAGCGTGCCAGAGATGGTAACGCCCCTGCCAGAACCAACTCACAGCCTCCTGCTGCCGCGAAGCGAGCTTCCATGGACGTTACCAAGGAGCAGCGCAAGGCTTCCACACCTGCTTCCGGCGAGCGTACTAAGGACTCACAGTCGAATGCAACAAACGTAAGTCCAAATTCCATGGTGTTCGACCGGTAAAACTTTTGCCATGTACTAATTACGAACTAGGAACAGGCAGGACCTGTCCGAGGCGAGGGTCGCGGCGACAGAGGCCGCGGTAACTTCCGTGGCCGTGGCGGACATCCAGGCAACGTTCCCATGCACGCTCAACAGTCTTCATATATGAGCAACGGCAACTCTTTCAGCTCTCAGGGGCCTCCCCGCCAGTATGCTAGCCCCCCTCTGCACCAGGGTAACAACTTTGCTCCATCCTATGGCGGTTCTCAGTCTCGAGGAGGTCGTGGCGGCCGCGGCCAATCTAACGGTTCAGGACCTTTCCGTGGAGTTGGCGGCTCCAACGCCAACCGCGCTCGCCAAGTTCAGGCCAACATGGGTCAGCCTTCCTGGGACTACCAAACCATGCCTACTCCGCAGTCGGCTTTTGGATGGTATGAACACCTCAGACACATTGCCATTCCTCAACTTGAGTATTATTTCTCCCTGGAGAATCTTCTCAAGGACGATTTCTTGCGCAAGCACATGGACGGCCAGGGTTTTGTCCCGTTTGACCTCGTGCTTGGCTTTGGGAGAGTACGCGAGATGGGTGCGCATCCGGACGCGCTCCGCATGATTGCCTGCGAGTGCGCACAGCTGGACTACGTTATCGGAGACGACCACGTTGAGCGCGTCCGTTCTCGCACACACTGGCAAAAGTTCGTCTACCCAGCCCTGGACCAGCGTGTGGAAGCTGCGCGCAACGCGGGACCTCAATACTTTTACTACCGCTCCTTTCACTCTGCCCAATACACCCCAGGCATGATGGGTGACTACCCCGTCACCTCCCCCACCGGATACACAAACGGTGTTGAAAACGGATACATGCCTTATCCCACCGATGCTGCAGCCGCCGGCCACCCCAATGGTCAGCTCTCAGCTCATGTTCCTGAATTTCAACCCAGCGGCTCGGCTGAGGGCTCGGCCTCTGCTGATGCTGAGACAAAGGGTCAGCCCAATATGAATGGCACCGCCGAGACTCAAGGCAGCGCCACATTGACCAACGGAAACCACGCACAGCCTGCCGAAGTCCTTCAGTCCTAGTTGGAAGAAGAGGTCGATGAGGCTCGTGGTAGTGATGCGAGGGACGGCAGCAGCACAAGCAGCAGCAGCACTCTTCCTAGCCCATCACAGCGCGCGCATTTGGTGATGCGCTCAATGGAATCTATCAACGACATCCCGTATCCTGAGTTTCGCACACGCACACTGTGCAAGAGGCGGGACGCCTTGCCCGGCGTCGGTGCAGGCGTTCTTGCTGAAGATATCCCTAGCAATACCTCCGACACCGCTTGCGGCGTTCCCGGTGGTAACGATATGATATCCCTTTACCGGTTCTGGTCTCATTTCTTGGCTCGGCATTTTGATTTGGAGATGTTTGAGGAGTTTCGGGCTTGTGCAATGGCGGACGCAACGGGAGACACGGTCAGCACAACTGGCCTCAAAAATTTGATTGCTTACTACGAAACAATTCTCTTGGGAAATGAGAAAAGCAAGTGGCCCCTGGACGATGTCGAATCTCGTTATGAAGAAGCAAGAAAGCTCGTTGCCTGGATTGGCAAGCCTTAAGAGGCGAGTTGGGTCAGAGACACAAGGCAGAGATGTTTGATGAATTACGCAGTCGGGGAATCTTCTCTATCAATACCTGCTACACACGACGGGATTGAGATCATCCGCCACGAGATCGTGGTATACTGTCCATTCCCGAGTATCGTTGAGTCCATCACGTTTCTTGGTAGCAGGTTTGAGCCTGCCCGATCTTGGTGTCTCTGATGACAGACGGTTGGAAAAGTTGGTTGTCTTCTTACGATCGAGAAATTTGCGGAAAGGCTCCCTGCAGGATGCTTGGCGACAAGCTCGCGAGGGCTTGGTTCAGAAATAATGAGAGGGCGGAATAATTCAGGTGGGCAAGAAGCAATACCTTGCGTTAGGATATGGCCATCCTCGCCATATATTCCTGACGGAAACACACTATGATGAGACTCTCTTCTCCGGCGTACTGGGCATGGGCTCGACACAACGGACGTCAGCGGCCTGCTTTCATTTCTCGGTTTCTTTTGCCTCAAAAGGGACACTTGTCTCCCCTCGCCTATTGCCGATAGACGAAGAAAAAAGTTTCTTTTTACTGCACATAGCTTCTGCATGATTTTGGGAAATCAAGGGACATGAATTGCATTCGAGCGGTCAAAGAGGGATTGGAGGTAGTGGTTCAGGTTCTAGATTTTTCTCTCTCCCTCTCCTCATCTCTCTCTTCTCGCTCATCAGCATCGCACGGGAACGAAGGTAACAACTCCATAAGCTGTAGAGAGGTGGCCTTTATGTACGAATAGCGCAAAACTGGGGGGGAAAAAAAAAGTAAGAAAAACAAGAATAAACCTGGAGTGTTCGGCGTTTACGCGAGTTGATTAGTTGCTCAAAGCTCCTCGATATTTCGGCGTGTTCAAAACTTCACAGCGACTCGTGTCTGGGACCGCCATTTACTCTCGGTCGTGTTCTAGGACGGACTACTGTACATTCATTTCCGTGATTGCTGACTGGGCCACACAGAGCCCCTCAAAGCCCCCCAAGTCGAGATGGATGACGAAAGAGTAGTGGAAGAAATTACTGGGAAGGTCCAGCTGGTATGCATCAGGTGCATTTTGTTTCCGTCGTCAGATCATATTACTCATTACTGAATGTCATACAAGAAGACAGCCTAGAGACTGCCATCGGCCCTCATCTTTCGAAGATGCCAAAGAAGTCAAATGAGACGAAGAATTATGTACCGAAACTCCAAGCCCTTTTGTTTCCTACATGCCGTCTCCCATTCATTGTTCATGCGTTCTCATGCTCGGTGGTTTAGCGTTGTTGACTTAGAGGGCCATTAGAGGCCAATAACAAGACCGATGACAGCAACCACACCGGCAAGACCGTTGGCCATGGCGGTCGGGGCAGCATTGGATGGCGCATCAGTGCCGGAGGCGGTTCCGGAGGCAGTGCCGGAAGCCGCAGTCTCGGTGCCGGTGCCGGTGCCGCTGGCCGACTCGGTCTCAGAGGCGGAAGCGGAGCCAGTGGCAGTCGTCTCTGTGACGGTCTCGGTGCTTTGAGGTGGTGTTAGTGGGAGGCGATGACTGTGACAGGCGTGGAAGGACAAGAACTTACGCGGTAGTGGCCGCGGACCCGGTGGCGGTGCCGTTGGAGCCAATGATGGTGGAAGTGTAGGAGTTGCCCGCAGAGTCGGTGCCGGTGACGACACTGACGCTGGGAGTAGGCACGACGTCGGTGGTAATGGTGGTTTGGCTGGGGGTGACGGTGGTGGTCGCGACGATGGTGCTTCCATTCTCGTCGGTCGTGGTAATTGCGATCACAGTCGGGCGAGGAACTGTGACAGTGACCGTTGGCCTCAGCGAGTCGATAGCGGTCTCGAGGGCCTTTTGAGGAGTCAGTCAGTGTTCACATGATCTAGGGAGGGGCGGGGATGCTTGAGAGAGAAAGAGTTGCGCCGTTTGAGGAGCAGCACTACTCGACATACCTGGTACTGGCTGCTGTAAGCCGTTGGGACAACGCTGGCGAACCAGGAGGGTGCCTCAGTGGCTTTGAGAGCCGAGTAGATGACATCCTTGACGTCGGCGGTGACGCCGGCAGCGCTCGCAGCTGAGCCGACGGCCGAAGTCAGGGCCTCCCACTCGGGTTGGGGGATGTACTGGGAGATGAGGGCGTCGGCGGCGGAATTGAAGGCGGCAAGGTCGGACCTAGACACGCCGTGTTAGATGCCGTAGGTACATACGTGCGGGCTTCCGCTTGGGGAGGTTCCCGAGCGAAGTGGGGACGGGACGGGACGGGAAGGGAAGGGGGCAAGGTGACTTACTCGGGGTCCCGAGGACGGAGGCCGGCGGCGGCAACGAGGTTGGCAGCAAGGCCCAGGGACAGGATAGCGGTCTTCATTTTGCTGGTAGGGTTGTTCTTTTCCGGGGTATCACGGGGTTTTCTTTGATGGTGGAAAGGACGGCACGAAACGACCGGTCGAGAGAGGGTATCACTGGCTGTAGCAAACACGACTGTGTGAAGAGAGAATCAAAAGGAAAGGGATCACAGGATCAGCCGGCCAGGCCCATTGTTTAAATACCAAATAGCAGAAAACCTGGTGATGCGGTCAAGCACAGAAATGACGCCGTACGCGGTGAAGCTGGGCCGGGTACGACCAGGCCAGAACGAATTGGGACGCATTGGCATGGCGACAGTGGTTTGTGGAAGCGAGTTGTGAGTTGCGCGTCGGGTTCTGTGAGGGGACAAGGTGGGAAAAATCTTGGTGAGGGCCCCGGTCTGCCTTGGAAAGCGGAGGTTGGGTCGAGATGCTGCCCTTGCAGTTGCAGGTCTTGCAGCTAGCCAGCTCAGCTCAGCCCGGGGCCCATTGAGCAGCACCAGCATCATCATGAGCATCAGCTCCAACATGGCCAATCACCAGCAGCGGTATCGCCAGAGCAGCATGCGCGCAGAAGCTGCGGGAGCACAATGGGATCGGAGAAATAAAAAGCAAGGCAGCAGACCAGCTTGCTGGAGTGACGTTGATGTATCGATTTCGCCTTTTGCTTGCGTGTGCCACTGTGTCCGGTCGAATCATGTCGCCATTGGCTGCATTGCACAGCGTCCATGATTGCATCCAACGGAAACACGGGTGATGGCATTGTGGTGTTGGATCACTTGAGGGCGGGAGAGGGCAGGGGGGATGATTGGCGCCAGGTTGCGTGTTTGCCGGCCAAGATCGTGAAATGGGTTGACGGGGTTTGGGAGGCTGGGAGACATGAATAAGGGCGGTGGAGGGATGCGGTTGACGGGTGAAGCCCAGTGACTACAATACGGTATTGCCTTGAGATACCTGCTTGGTGGCCGACGTACCTTCGGCACCTTAGGTAGTGTAGCCAGGCGGTCCCACCATGGGTCGCATCATAGGTGCACCACGCTCATTGGCTGGCACCGTTTGTAGCGAGGGGATCAATCTGACAGAGGACCTTGTTTTCTTGAGAGGTACGGATACCTCGACACCTCGACAACCGACTCCTTGACTCCTCACCCGCGACCGTTTCCTCCCTCGGGCCTCCATGCACCTGTCCCATCAGCAATTCCTCCAGGCTCAGCCACACCACTTATACTAGTAATGATGGCAATGTGCAATGTGAGCCACACTGAGGTTGTCGGTCAGTCAGTCAGATGACCATACCAACCGCCACGAGCGAGGTGTGCGCCACGGTGCGATTCCAATGAGCCTCGAAAAGGACCGTGAACGAACGGAGGCCATTACGTCACTGAGTTGAGGCAGGCTTCCCCGCCACCCCTCAACGGTGTCCCGTCCAGTTTTCGCACATGTACGTACCTTGAGGCAGCTGAATGTGAAGGCCCTTTACCTTTAGTTGGATGACTTCGGAGTACTCTAGCTGTGCTTCCATTCCTGCTCGGCGCTCACGTTGCTTGCAATCTATCTGGGGCCCTGTACGGAGTATTTACAGATCATTCATTACCGCGCAATCACCAGCAGACATGTTGTGTCAAAGGGAAACAGATGTCCTAGCCGGCATGTCAACAGACAAGTGAGTGCCAGCAACGGGCACTCCGAATTGCCCATGTCAAGCCCACCGGGGCGGAGCTGTCAAAGACTCACCCGACTGAGTGTGATGCTGTCCAGCGTCCCGTCAGATTGGATTGGCTGATGGCCTTCTGTTGAGGTCTCAGCAAGGTACCTAAGGTAGCCTCTCTGCCGGCGCTCGGCCTATTTGTTAGGCTCATTCGCGGGACGGCGGCGACACCTGAGTGGCTGGAGAGCCTCCCATTATGATATCATCTTCCACCGACGGGACTCACTGGTCACATGGAAGCCACCGTTCTGCGCAGGTCGTGCAAGAAGGTGGAGGGCGCTGCGTGTCCCAGCTGCACCGCCAGGAATACTGGGGGGCCTCCTACTCTACTGCGGACAACCAAAGGCAAGGCCAGCGACATGAGCAAAACCATGTGCGCGCAGAGACGTTTGCTGCAGGTTTGGGCCTCCAGAGTCTGTCTGTCTTCTTTGACCGTCCATCACCTCCACTTGCTCGCAACCAAGACTCGGTAAACCACGCATCGCCTTCGCCTGGCGCCGACGTCCTTCGGCCTGTCGCATGGAACGCCCGTCTTCGCAGCCACTTAGATGGGCACTAAGCCAGCGTCGTTGCACACTAGGTAGGCAGCCTGGCTGGCGTCCCGCTTGATACCCAAGCAGTCAATCAGGGCATGGGGCCAACACCGGCATGAATGAAAATAACCAGAAAAAATAAAACTAAGCACCACGGGAAAAAAGCACACTATTTTCGGTCTCGGGGCCATCCATTTTGCCTGGCTTGGCCCAACAAGTGTTGAAATCAAATGACTCTGCAAATAGACTGGCTGCTTCGTTTAGATGGGCGGCCGTATTCCCTCCCTCAGCGACGAGCCGGTATCCAACCATGCTCCAGCTGTGCTGCACTGACCTGGCTGTCTGGATCCCGCACACTCCGTCCAGTGCCTGCTGCAAGTTGCAATGCTGAGTCGTCAAGCACTTGCATCCATGTCCAAAGGTGGTCACCCACAGTGTCCCAACCCTGCCCGTCCTGCCCTGCCATGCCCTGCCCTGCCCGGTCTGCGTGTTTCTGGCTGGCTGCTCTGCCTGAACTGTTCAGCATTCCACGCCTGATTTGCCTTTCCTTCCCGTCCTGCTGGACCCTTGCCTCCCCACCCACTTCCACCACTTCCACCTCTTCCAGCCCTGGTTCCCCCCGGTCTGCGGTCATCATTTCTTAGGCTCCCCTCCTCCCTACCTAACCTCTACTCTCCGTGACTCGCCTGTTCATTCTTCTGTCTTCAACACTTCATAAACGCAAAAGGACTGTCAAAGCGGCAGCCTGACACACAAGGCAAATATACCGACATATCTTCCATCAGCACTGACGTCCACCCGGTTCGTGATCGGTCCTGCAACTCAACTTCGTACAACTCCCACCAGACCCATCTTATACCCCGCGCCAACACAACCAACCTTTTTGACGGGCCTTCCTGGCTCCTTCACCTTACCCTCTCTGACGGCATGAGTTACGATTACGAACCTCACCGCACTCGCCGCTATGTCCGCGAGGAGCGACGTGAGGAGAGAGTCGACCCCCGCTACGCCGACGACCCCTACCTGAGGGTTTACGAGTCTCGCGAACTGGTTCCCAGGGCTCGGGAAAATAGTGACCTCTCGGTCGAGGAGGTTCGCCGGGACTTCCCTCCCCCAGGATACAGAGACGCAAGGAGAACCCGTTCAGCCGAACCTGGATATTACGACGATTACCGGGGTCACGATGATCGGGACCGTGGCTACTACGACCGCGATTATGACCGCCGCAGCAGGAAGGCTGGCAGCCTTTATTACGAGGAGGAAAAGAGATCACGCGAGCGTGTTCTCAATCAGCAAGAGAAGATTCTAGCCGCTGTGGCCGGTGCTGCTTTGGCTTTCGGTGGCAAGGAGCTCTACGATCGGAAGGAGGCCAAAGACCATGGCGGCGACGTTGAGCGCAACTACCTGACATCCGCTGCTATTGGTGCTGCCGGCGCACTCGCTGGCTACCAGGGTGCTGAGTTCTACAACAAGCACAAGGAAAAGGAGGAGCGAAACGCCACGTACGTCTTGCATCGTGGCCGCGATGGTAAAGTCACCGAGTACTACTCCGATGATGAAGGCGGTGAGAAGGAGAAGAAAGGATCAAAGTCTTTTCTCGAGAACGCCCTAGCAGCCTCTGGTCTGGGAGTCGCTGTCAAGGCTCTCACGGGCGCTGCCGGTGGTGGTCACCACGATGACCGCCGCAGCGACACGAGAAGCCGCCGTGGCAGCCCAGACTCTAGAGGTTCTCGGTCCAAGTCGCGCGGTCCCGGTGGAGAGGCTGCGAACAAGATGCAAAAGGCCGCCATGGCATCTCTAATTGCTGGAGCCACCGAGGCTTTCCGTGTCGCCAAGGAGCCCGGTGGCTGGAAGGGCGAGAAGACCAAGCGTATTCTCACTGCCGCTGCTGGTGCGGCTACCATTGATGCCGCGCAGAGCGGAGAGAAGCAGAGTAAGCTGGGCTTGGCCGAGTCTGTCATTGGCGGTCTCGTAGGCAACCGCGTTATCAACGGATCCAAGCGTAATATCGAAGAAGATCGCAGGACCGGCCGAAGCAGGTCTCGATCTCGCGCTCGTTCCGATGGCGGGGGCGGCGGACCAGGGCTGGCAGCTCTGGCCACGGCCGGACTAGGTGCTTTCGGCGCAAAGAAGGCCATTGAGAACGTTCGCTCTCGTAGCCGCGGCCGTAGCGCCGATTCTTACGACAGCCGAGCGTCCAGCCGCGACGGTAGACGTCACAGAAGCAGAAGCCGCAGCGTTGTGGACTCGGCTCGGAAGAAGCTCGCCAAGATCGGCCTTGGCAGCGATCCCGACGACAGAGAGAGAGACAAACATGCTCGGGACGACAGTTACTACGAGGATCGAAGCTCCCGCCGCGGCCTGAGCCGCAAGTATTCCGACGAGTATGATGACGGTTACGACAGGGGCTACGCCCGTAGTACGCGCGATGGATACGATGACGATAGATCGTCTTACACGAGCGGCCGGCGTCGGGACCGCTCCCGTCGCAGGGGAGCACGATCGGACGCAAGCTCAGACTCCGACCTCGGGGATTCTGATGATGATGAGAAGCGGGCAAGAAAGATGAGAGGTAAGCAAGTGATCACAACAGGCCTTGCGGCCGTTGCCACCATACACGCAGCACATGGGGTCTATCAGAGTATGGAAAAACGCAATGCACGGCAGAAGGCTGTGAGGGAGGGTCGGCTGAGTCCAGAAGAAGCCAAGAAGCTCAAGACAAAGGCAATGCTGCAAGATGCCGCCTCTGTCGGAATCGCAGCTCTTGGTATCAAGGGTGCCTGGTCTGAGCTCAAGGAAGCCAAGGAGATGACGCACGAGTGCAAGCAATTTCAACATGAGAAAGCCGTTCGACACCAAAAACGAATTGAGAGGCAGAGACGGCTCAACGGCAGTGATGGCGGAAGACGCGGCAGGGCCGACGACTGGTATACTTCGTCTTCTCCGCGGACAGATCGTTATGACTACGGATCTGTCTACATGAACGGGAACCCTTACTCTGCGGGTCCTTTGCCAGCGCCTCCTGTTGGTTACGACAGGAGGTGAGGGAAATCCATGAGAAAACTGCCCAGTACAGGCACAGGGCTGCAATGTCGATCAACCGATCGGGCATCCGCGTTGCCATCCCATGAGCAGCTTCCACGCCTCCGCACACTACTTGCCAACGACACACAACATTCTTACGACTTTCAAAATGGTATCAAAATTATACGACGACTTAACGACATGAGCACAAGACATGATGACACACCAGTTGCGCGTTAAGGAAGACAGGAGAATTTTGGGTGTGAGCAACAGATGTAGAACTGGCTTTCCACGAAACCCCAGCTGCCTTGCATTGCGTTCACTCAGATAGATGGATTCCCCTTCTCCCCTTTGTTGCAGAAGCTACACATGGAATTTCTGTTGTACTACGAACTATAACTGATTATCATTTCAACGTGACAGACCGTCGCCGTCATTAATCGGCCAACAACTGCCAGGCGTTGCGGCGCTGGCCGCGCTTCTCCTCTCGTCAGTCCCCACGGGTGGCTGTCGTACCAGTCGGGAGAATCTTCCGACATGGGGTTCGGGCAAAACGAAGACATGAATGGCCCCTTCGAAAACACGATCGAGACCGATCGCCAGGGTCCGATTGGGGCCAGCTGTGCTGGTTAGGAGGAGTGTGGCGAGGTTTCACACTGACTTGCGGAGCGAACAGAGCCTAGAACGCTGCGGGAGCTGACCCCTGTTCCTGAGACAAACCGGACATTTTCACTAGCGCAGAGCGGCGGTGAGGGATGACGACGTTCGAAAGATTGGGGAAATGCGGGATGATGATATGACGGAAAAGACGGCTTTTAGCTTACAGTTACTCAAGCCAACACGCGCATTCTTGGGAACGGGGCTGTGGGGGAAACTTTGGTTCCCAGCCAGCCCAATCTACATGGATTGATTTGCGATGGGTCATTTCCATGCTCTCTCTATCTGTCTTTTTATTTCTCTCTTTTTGTTTCGCTCTCAGCTCTCTCTCTCTTTCTCTGTCTTTTCTGCTAGGGCTGGCTTCTTTGGTTTATGCTGTATACAGGGATGGTTATGTAGTTTCCGATTGAGCCATGAGACACGACATGCACCCGCCGAATCCTTTGTCAATCTCGTCCACTGCTCAGTACCGTGTGAAAGCAAGCGATTTGGTGGCTGTTTGATAAACGGTCACCTCCGAGACATCCCATCCGCGTCTTCTGGATGCGAAGTTGGCGCGGCCCCGCGAAGAATTGCCTGATCGGCGTGAGGCATGTGGCCTGCTTCTGCAGCATGCCCAGATATCATGGTGTGTGCTTTCCGCTTCCTCTGCCTGGCACATCGGTCGGGAGCTCTCACCAATGAGGGGCAGGCGGACTCGGTATGAAAATGCCTAGACCGAATTCGTGTCACGCTACAATGATATATGCGCCGTTGGTGCTGGTCTTCTTCTGCTCGAACCGCGACACACCAGCAGAAAGAAGTCCAAGGCAGCCAAGAGATATGGTTTGAAAGTCTTTCTCGCCAGTTCGAATACCAGCAGATGTGACATACATCACGGTAAGAAATCCAGGGGTATCTAGCACTCGGAGGGCTCGCGACAGCCGGCCTTGAGGTGTTTAGTGCGGCGTCGTCATGGTGTCGCACAGGGTGCAGCTGAGGAGTTAGACTGGCAATGACATCATGCATGGTGAAGCTCCACGGATTGTGGTCCCATCTGTTTGAGTGCCTGCCGTTGTGATCCTTCATACATGCCCCATTCCAACATTGAGGTTTTGATTGGCCACACATTGTCATATGACTGGGTAATGCATTTGTAGCATCTCGATGAATCCAACGGTTTTCGTAGCCAAAGAGTGATAGTGGCTCTAGATAGATGGTTCGCTCGTAGCAGTCCGACCTCGAGCACGCCGCGTCTTACTAGCTTCTTACACGGGCTTCACAAAATAAGGCTGGCAGATGGGTATTCCCGTGGTCTGAACTTTGAATTGATTAGGCAAATACATGAGACGAGACATACTTTGTCCGAACCCGTCTTTGGTAGAGCCAACGATTTGAAGTTTATCTTGACTTCGAATGATATCGTTGGCACAGGTATGATACATCGTCGAAATCTCCCCTAGCCAGCTTTCACGTCGTGGCGTCTGCCGCTTGTTGCTTCCAGGCCTGCGCCATGGCCAGCAAGTTTGACAAGTTTTGTGATTGTTTGTCGTCTGCCGGGAAGACGTAGTCGATGTACTCCTCGAAGCTGTCATCCTCCAGACGTCTTCTGCGCTTCGTCTTGCGCGGCATCAGCTTTTGCACTTTTTCCACATTGTCCTCAGCGCCGTGCATTCGCTCAAACGACAACCAGGCATTGAGAAGTGTCACGCTCTCCTCCTTGAGGTCCTTCTCTCGCATGCTCTTGTGCGCACGCTCGAACACCTTGCGCGCTCTCGCCTTCGCTACATCGCTAATCGGCGCTTCCTCCTCCTCCGCTTCCTCATCTTCCGGAATGTTAAGCTCGAAGTGGGCATAACTGATCCAGACCTTGACATGATCCGTCTTCTCGAGGAGACGCTCATAGAGCTCTCTCGTACGATCGTACTCGCCTTCCTCTTCCTCAAAGTCAATGTACGCCTTCCACAGGAGCTCGGGCATGTCTAGGACCATCTGGTTGACGGCCAGCTCAAAAATAGCCCTCGTCCGGTCTAAGTCATCGAGGCCTCGCTCGAGCTCGGCAAACTTGATCCATGTCTGGCAATTGGCCGGGTTCCACTCAACGTGCTTTTCGTACAGTGTCCGGCACCGCAAAAATTCAAAGAGCTTGAGTTCTAGCTCAATGTATCCCCTGAACAGCTTGTCTTTTGGACACATGCCGATTGCTTGGCCAAGCGTTTTCCGAGCGCTTGTGAGCTCGCCCTGTCGGATTTCGAACTGGGCTTTGAGGAGCCAGATCTTAGCAAAGGTGAACTTCTTATGAGGTATGAGCTCCAAGCACACTTTGTAAATCTGCCGAGCTCGCTCAACATCTTTCGCCTGTAGCTCCTCAAAGATGGCGTAGTTGATCCAGAGGTAGATATAACGCCTCCAAAATCGCTTCTCCTGCGCAGGCGGCACCTGGGCGACGGCTCTCTCATACACATCTCGCACCCTATCCAAGTCGCCCGCTGTCTCCTCAAGCCTCGTGTAGTCAAACCAAGTATCGTAGTTCTTTGGGTTTTCCTTTACTTGGTTCTCATAGAAGACGCGACGTTTCGAGAGCACGACGTCTTCAACGCCATCTCTGTCCCCGAACTGCTTCTCAAACGTGGTGTACGCTTTGTGCAGGGCCATGGACTTTGAGCGGGGGAGTCGGTCCATGGCGTATTTGTAAATCGCCCTGGCCCTTTCATACTCTTTCATCTTCGCTTCGAAGCGAGCATAGCTGACGAACAATTTCTCGTCGACGAACTCGTCTCCCAAAGCCTCGACGGCTATCCCGTATACTTCTCGCACCATGTCGCTGGTCCCGAACTCTTCCTCGAACCGTGCCCACTTGATCCAGTTTCTAGGCTCCGGATGAACCTGTGTGAACTTCTCGAAGATGTCGCGGGCTCGGTCGTATTCTCCATATCGCTTTTCTAGCTTGATGTACGCGCTCCAGGCGGCTTCGTCGGGTTGCCACTGCATCCAACGGTCGAACACGCTACGGGTCTTTGGGATCTCGCCCAGCATCTCCTCCATGTAAACGTATTTGTACCACAGCTTGTCGACGCGTGGGAGCCGAGCGACGGCTCTGTCGAACAGATTTCGAGCATGGGAAATGTCGCCATTTTTCACTGCCAAACCGTTAGTGATATTGTCCCATGCGAGCAAGGTCTGGCGGGCTCGTACGTACTTTCTGATTCGCAGTATCTTATCCACAATGGAACGGAATTAGGATGCACATCGAGTGCTCTTTCGAAAATGGACCGCGCACGACGAAACTCCTTCTGTTCCAGCTCCCACTGCGCATATCGCATCCAATTATTGAGGTTCACTCGGTTGCGCCGGACATAATCTTCAAACTCCCTCCGCTTTCGTCCCTGGAATTCGTGGAGCTCCTCCAAGTCGGCAAAACGTTGGGTAGGGGCTTGCAACGCGACCTCCTGACGGTCAACCGCCTCGCGCAGGAGTTGCTCCGCGGATATTTGCACCGGCGCGGGAGCCTTGTTCTTGACCTTTGGAGGTCCTCTAGATGCCTCCATGATTTTGACGGGTGCCCAGGAGGCTTCGCTTGCGAGTATTCTGGTGATTACAGGCAAAGTTGTCGAATCAATGGTGTTGCTTGGTACGCGTAGCCGTGAATTCTGATTAATGTGAGAAGCGTGTGCTCCTGAAAATCCCGAGAACTGGCTGTCGTTGAGCTTGTTGCTCCACACGTTGTTGTTGCAGTTTGGCCAAGGTTGAACCAACCTGCAGGCAGGCAATGAAAAAGCATGGACACTTATTCTTATCGGATAATCAGCCACCCCGATAACGAAGTGGCTGGTGGGTTCTGAAGACCGCGTCTGCCAGCAATACCCGTGACCTGACAGAACTGATTGAAGATTTCAAATTTGTAAGAGGCTGTCGACTGTATTATGTCGTTGGAGCGGAACTACTGCTAACATATCCATCGACCAGCTATCTACTGCTGCAATATTGGGGAAGGTAAGTGCATCTCCCCAGTCTGTTAAGGCACCTAAGTTAGGGGTTAGGTTGTTGGTGGTTGTGAGTACCTTCCCTGCATCAAACTCCCACCTGCCCAAAATAAAGTGGGCCCGATCACTCAAGGTAGGTGGCACAGGCACGAGTTCGCCTCTAACGTAGCCTTGCAAGGCTCACAGGAGATAACTTTTCGTCACAACAAATTCATCATTTTCACGGCGCCAGACTCTCAGTACGCGTGCTGACTTGCAAACGAAGACGGCAAACGAAGACGCGCGAGGAACGCGGCGAACGCGACGACATCTTTCACCATGGCTACGCTTGCAGAGGAGCTTTTCAACGATTTCGCTGACTCTGGCTCGGAGGCCGACGAGACTCGGCAAGATGGCAATGATGCACTGGGTCTCGACCTTGCGCCCCAGACGGTCAATCACAGCTCGTCAAACGACATGGACTTAGACGCAGATGATAGCGAAGCTGATGCAGATGACGATGTCATGGCTGGCGTGAGTAAAGGCACCGTCGACACTGTCGAGGACGCTGAGGATGCCAAGTCCAAGGTCGAGAAGATGCAACTAGGCGGCGTGAACGATGTTCGCAGTGTTGCCAGTCTCATGCAGACCCTGGAACCCGTTATAGAGGTTAGTAAACACTCACTGAACACGTCTGGCTCTATTGAAGCAGTGTTTACATCTCGTTTTCGGAGAACTAGCCCTGACTTCGTACCTCGAATGCTGCAGAGAATCGCACACTATCAGTCGCAACCTACTCCGACTCAGCTCATCGGCAATATCGAAGATCACCCCGAATACCATCTCCTGACACAGTCGAATAGTTTGTCAACGCTGATCGATAGCGAAATCGTTCTCGTCCACAAATTCATTAGAGATCACTACTCGATCCGGTTCCCCGAACTCGAAACGCTCATCACCAACCCGCTAGAGTACGCCAAGGTCGTGGCCATCTTAGGAAATGGTCCCCTGGATTCGGAGAACATCAAGACTTTGCAGCATTCTACAGACAACCCTCTTAAGGCGTCACTTCGTTCGGTACTCGATGGTCCATCCCTGATGATCGTGACGGTGGAGGCCACGACAACCAAAGGTCGTGAAATGTCGCTAGATGAACTCATGCGAGTGCAGAGAGCATGCGAGATGGTGTTGTCCTTGGACAGGGCGAAGAAGACTCTTACAGAATACGTTCAGTCGCGCATGAACCTTTTCGCGCCGAATTTGACTGCGATGATCGGATCTTTGACTGCTGCGCAGCTATTGAATGCTGCTGGAGGGCTGACGGGTCTGTCCAAGACGCCCGCATGCAATATTGCTGCCTGGGGGTCGAAGAAAGGAGCCGGTGCAGCCGGTCTGGCTACAAACATTGGCATTCGCCAACAGGGATTTCTCTATCACTCTCCTATTATTCAAGGCATTCCCAACGACCTCAAGAAACAGGCCATGCGCATTGTCGCAGCAAAGCTTCTACTCGCTGCTCGTGTAGACCGAGTTCACTCTAGTCCCGACGGCTCGACGGGCGAAGAGCTCAAGGGTCATTGTCTCGAGCGACTAGAGAAGCTTACGGAACCACCTCCAAACAAGGGCCCCCGAGCGCTTCCGGTCCCTGACGATAAACCATCGCGCAAGCGTGGAGGGAGAAGAGCTAGAAAGGCCAAGGAGGCTACGGCCATGACGGAGCTACGCAAGGCGCAGAACAGGATGGCATTTGGTAAAGAGGAGAGAGAAGTCGGTTATGGCACGGGAGAGGGCACTGCAGGACTTGGTATGATCGGCCAAGCCAACGACGGCAGAATTCGCAACCTGCAAATCGACCAGCGGACGAGGGCAAAGCTCAGTGCCAAGAACAAGGGTTGGGGCGGCGCAACTTCGCTGAACGGGGCAGCATCCTCCCTTCGAGGGTTCGGGCAAGCAAACTCCAACATCGACCTGCGTGGCAAGGGTCTCAGGACGTCAGGTGTCGGCACGACGCTTGGTGCGCCTACGGGCACAGCGTCGTCACTGGCCTTCACTCCCGTGCAGGGTCTAGAGCTCGTCGATCCCAAAGTCCAGGCTGAACTCAGTCGAAAGCGGAAGGCCGAGGAGGACCGATGGTTCAAGGGAGGAACCTTCACGCAAGTTGCTGGCTCGTCCAATGGAGGCTTCAAGAAGCCCGACCTGCCTCCCAGCAAAAAGGTTGATACTGGTGCAGGTAAAATGGGACCTCCACCTCCGCGGAGCGGCTGAGAAGTCAAGCCATAGCAACGTGGAAGGTAAAACACCAAGCATGTCCATGAAGTCTATCTCTTACCCGAAAGACTGATTCCGGCATTTAGAGGGGTGTGCTGGCAACGAGGTCCGCGGCAGGTTTGGCTGGGCCGGCACGGTCGGCGTGCGGCGTTCTTGGAGGTTTGCTATTCGGAAGGGGGCCGTTCGACATGGAGCAATGGAACGGGAGCTTTACCGTTGCACGTAGGTTTGGAGGACATGACGTCCCTGCCAAAGACGTATTGGTTGTTTCCTCTCGGCACCTATTTCCAAAGTTGAGATGTAAGATTCTTTGTAACCGTAATAGCCAAAAGGCTGGTCAAACGTTTTCTAGCGCTGCCTGTGCTGCATCAGGAAGCTGTCATGTACGTAGCTACTTGTTGTCTTCTTGTGATGTATGCTTCCGTGCGGTCATGCCACTCTGGCCCATGAGTGAATCTTTTTGGTCCCATCTTGGAGGTCATCACCTTATCACACCAAAAAGCGTTGACGCTCGCCCCTCCGTAGCAGGGAAAGAAGAGAGACTTGGAAACCGTCGGCAGGTTGAAAGTTTAACTAGACTGAGGGCCGTGGTGGCGTTTATTAACCCTTGGTCTATTCCTGTTATGGTTGGGGCCAACGTGAGGCGAAGCTTGCAATTGCTTGCCACGATCTTGTTGGTCCAGTTCTCTAGGTCTACGCAGTGCAGTCAATGTTCTAGTTCTATTATGGGGATGAGAATACCATCCTGGTTACTATCCACCGAGGGTTTAGCTATTTCGGTATGCGGAGAAGCTTGTTGCCCTCCATCTGGGAGAGGGGGCATTGCGTTCCCAGCAAGCGTCTGAAGGCAATTGCGCACGAGACGATGTTTAAAATTCTGTAAAGGGGTCTGTGAAGACAGCATGGCCGAAGTGAAAAGGGCAAACCCATGGAACATGCAAAAGTCAGGCGCGAAGGGGAAAGAAGAAACAGCCCCGTCACCAGCGCACTGGTCGCCAGCTCAAGCCGCCACGCGTTGCGACGGCGCCGAACCGCCGCCCTTGCGAGCATTACAGATCCTGGGTAGCCATGAAACAGGACTCTCAAGCCCTTCACTTATAGCTTTGTCCGGCTGCGATTCTTTCTTTTCTTGTCGTATTCGATTGGCCTTGGGTGCACCGGACTGGATTCCGGGCGACCGCAATCCGTTAGATCGAGGTTGTAACACCCAGAGTTTGTCTAGACAGGTCGTGTACGCGAGACACCTGCATAGGACCTACATGTTGATTTGATTGATACTGGATACTCCCGCGGTTGCGTCTAGACTGCGCTCTGGCTCACATTCGGCCGACGAGTCTCTGCCTCTGTCTCTCTACGACAGTGGCCTTGTGCCCGGGGAAACGGCGATCCTTCAGGTGGGGTTCGCCCTCCGTCGACGGGCGGGCCAGCAACAGTACGCAGTAGGGTTTTCGGCGATTTTCCTCCGCGGTCGAACGAGCAGCGGGGCCGGACTGCATTCTTATGGCACGATGACGTATAGGGTGCAAAGTTACGGAATTGTACGCAGTATTCGCTGGGCACGAGGGGGCACATGCAGGACGGACGGGGGGAGCAGACGAGAGTGAGGAGTGGGGATACCTTAGGTCATCAAGTGGATTGTCCCCGCCTCGCCGAGAAGAAATGGAAGCAGGCGGCGGCCGATGAAAAAAAGAGAAAAGGGGAGGGGTTTCTGCCGAGACCCTGAAGTATGCTATCGATGCGCCCAGAGCCCTGAACGAAAGAAGCACTATGATTAACCGGCGTTGCTCCTTCACGCTGTGGCTTAGGGCCTTCCTTACTATGGTAGACAACATAGACGTCTTCTTTTGTAGCGGCAGACCCCAAAATGCCATGCTTTCGCAGCTCACTTTGATGGCAGCTCCGAGATTTGACTTTGTGGCTGCAGCTTGCACCCATGTCGACGGAAGGTCCAGAACTTCAGGGACCAAAAGATCGTCCTGATACCCGCAGGGGATGTCCCCGTTACTAGTGGATCCTAGCAAGGAAGACTCGGAGGACTGACCTCAGATACCTCAGGGGATGCAAGGGTGACCACAGCGGTGGGCAAGGGTCCTCGTCCAAAAAGCAGGGCACGTACCGGAGACGAGGACAAGCGGCCTTCCTTGCCTCCGGGGGTTGGGTAAAGCGATAGGCTCTCGTTGGTTGAATGCTATCGGACTCGATACCGATGCAGGTATCCGTACTTTGCCCGTTGAGCAGGCACGGGAGGGGTCACTTAGGAACAGAGAGACCTAGCGCAGGAATCGCATACACGCGCCGAGCATTTGTTCTTATGCGCCACGGGACGGCGCAAGGGTGGAAGACGTATGATGAAGGATATGTTCGGAGGTGTACTGCATTTGACACAATAATTGATCAGTTGAGTTGAGGTTGAGCAGTGCGCTTCGCGTCGCAGGGTGCCGGCTATCATGATTGATTCCGAGCGGAAGGAGAGAGCGCGGGCTTTGGGGCACAGTCAGCAGACTATCACTTTGGTGGGGTCTACCCGTGCCCTACCTGTCCTCAGATATGGGGGAAGACGTCGGGATGGTAAAGCCAATGACGTGAGGATGATGTTGCATATTGTACATGCCTAGTCATGCTGCGATATCCATATCCGTAGGCTGCCCCTGCTGAGGCAACTGTGGAGCACCCTTCTACTGCGTACGCAGCAAAAGACGGGCAGTACTTCGATGTACACTGCTTGGTGCCGACTCAGGCAATCCTATCGCTGAGCATGACGAACGGACGATAGGGCGGCGGGGAGCAACTGATTTTGACCGTTTTGCAACGGCGTTGCAGGTCTGCCGACAACTGGCATCTGTGCAAAAGAGGGGAGAAGAGCCAACACATGGCAGGGAGATGAGGAGAAAAGCAAGCTGAGAAAATGGGATATGAAGAACAAGACTATTTGCCGAGATGAATTCGGACCGGGCGGGATTGAGCTGGGAGATCCGAACAGCAGGTCGAGACCATTAACAATGGACTTTAGACAACTGTACTTTAACCTGCCGGTTTCGGGCTTTGAGTGACGGCCGGCTCCTGGTTCTTGCTGAGACTATTGAATCGTATGATTTCAGCGATGTTCTTCCTTTCAACGAGGAGATGAAGCCGCTTCGCAGCTTGTATGTGGGAAAGACTCGGTTGCGGACTCGTCCAGGCCTTGCCAAGCTGTACCACGATATCCGTTCACCTCTTGGAGAGTTATGTATTGTGCCGCTCAACTTGTCTGCATAGATACCTCAGTTGCGGCCCGGGGGTCGTTACTTCGGTATCTGTGAAGATGCCTGTCAAAATCACGGAGCGCGAGCCCCTCTTTGCCGCGGCCCCTCCCCCCCCCCCCCCTTTTCTTTTTTTCTTTTTTTTTTTTTTCCCCTTCTTCACATTTTTCTTTCCGGGGACCAAATGCACTCTGAATTGCGCAACTACGTCAGCGAGCGCGAGCAAACCGGGCCAAACGGCCAGGCCTCGGGCCAAGGGCCCGCTCCAAGCGAGGGAGCGGGCAACGGAAAACGGGGATGAGAGCGGAGGAAACGGGACGACAGTAATCGCATAGTAGATTTAAGGTGTTTACCTCAGCGGCGGCAACGAGAAACACCTGAGCACAGCGTAAAGCATATCCATCACAAACAGTTGGTTGTGTTGTGCTCGGCGAGCGAGAAGCTTCGACGTGTGCTCAAAGTGCGAAATCAAAGATAAGACGGCCATGTCCTTGATTTATTCTGTCAATCGATCGGCAAAGTCGACTGGTTGTAACAGCAAGAGAAAACGAAAGAAGAATGATAGCTAGCAAAAGTACCACTGTCTAAATGAACTGCGAAGTGATGACAGCAGCCGGACTAATCACTCCGGGAAGACGAGTGCTTGCTGCGTGCTGTGTACCTGTCAATCGGGATCGGGATCAGCGATCAGTGATCAGGCGGAATATTCTGCGGCTAGTGGGACGTTATTTTCAGGGTCTGAGTAGGTATTGTGCAAATGTGGGCTGGCTGAGCTGAGTTCCGTTGACGACGACGTCGAAGCCTGGATACCCTACCTACCGTAAGGGTCGTGATCGTCGATCTGATGGAGTGGAGAAAGAAAGAGAGGGAGTGCGACAGAGGGAGACTGGCAGAGTGAGGGGTCCGGTACGGATGCGCCAAAAGGCGAAGAATGGGAAAGTTGAAATGGGGGTGGGGAGTGTGCAGGACGCCAAGGGGGATCGGTCCCGCACAGGTCTCGTACTGCAAAATGCGATGCAGATGCCCTGAGTATGAGCGGTTGGGAAGAAAGACAAGGCCGAGCGGGCGGGCGGGAATAAAACTCGAGGTTCCTTGAGCAGCGGCGGTGGTGGTGTCAGTGGTGAGCTGATGAAGAATGCCAGAGGAGACAGAGCCACGCATGCATCAGGGCATGAGGGGGGGTACTTACTCCTCCGTCAGGCTGCTCCGTACTTACCAAGTATTGATTCGTACGTAGTTCAGGACGTAAGGATGGATGTCCTGATCCTGGGATTGCTTTTGTGTCGTAGAGGGGTCATTGAGAGGAAACTGGAAATGGCATGAGAACAAGGATGCGGAAGGCCAGGGACGACTAGGATAACGGTGGCAGCAAGAAGGGGTGGGGGGCAAGCAACAACCAAAGAAAAGGTGAGGTGAGGGAGGGATCGGTAGTTGGACACAAAACGGAAAAAAAAAACAAAGCAATGGGATTCCCAGGCGAGGGATGGAGATTCTGGTCTGAGGAAGAAAAGCGCTGGACGCCGGCGCATGATTGACGGAAAACGGAATCGGGGTGTGTTCCGTGTTTGATTTGATTGAACGGTACTCGCTACACTAGGTACTGCGTAGTAGAGCTAGGACCCTGGAAATCGAGGAAATCAACGATGCACCATAGGAATCGGCGATGACCTAGGGACGAGTACCTGCTGCTCCCACATGGTGGTGGGCCTCTCCGCCTTCGCAGGAGCCGGTGGAGTACCGTCAGTACCCTTGGGGTAA